TTAAAGGGGTCTGGACACAGATCTGAAGTTAATATTTTCTCTCAGTTTCTATATAATATCATGGCTTATATAGCATTTCACACAGAAATATAATAAAAGCTTGTTCAAACACGTCTTTTGTCTGGAAATTATTGAAACTACGAATTTCGGGACGCGTTTGATTGACACATACTTGCACTTTCACAAAGTAAACTTTATCTTTAATACTTAAGAAAAGTAGAAATTTTGTTGTGTGTTAATGAAAAACATTAAAAAAACTATAATCCAGAAAATTCGTCGTAGAAATGTGAAAAAGCAAAAACAAATCACCAGTATCGTCGGTCCGTACTCAGTGATATGTGTGCAGAGTTTTTGAACACATCCGGTGAAACGTAAACATTAACAATAGCAGAGCTCTTGCCCTGTTTACAGAAAACAGATGTTTGACGTGATGTAAAGAAAAATGTCGTTGTCATTGAATTCTAAGAATATTCATGTAAGTTCAATTCATTTAACTGGTTTTATTTTTGAATAAGCATAAGAATTTAAAATGTAAACGATGCAATTGTGTCCAGGTTCCTTTATATTACAGTAATGTTACTTTGGAATTTTACGATTACAGTTACAATTTGGATCTATTTTCTGAACAGAATACATGTAGTTTAATTATATGCAATTGACGAAGTGGATTTGAATACTTGAAGACTTCTTTAGTTCTTATGTTAGTTCCTCTGTTTTTTTTGTCCCCCGCTTTCGCGAAAGCGAGGGGACTTTAAAACTTATTTGTCTGTCAGTCTGTCACAAAAACCTTAACCTTGTTCATAACTTTTGAATGAGGAGAGGTAGGGCTTTCATATTTCACATGTACATTACCTTTGACAAGACCTTTCCAAATATGATATGATTTTTGACCCTGTGAACTTGACCTTGAAGTTGACCTACTTTTCAAAAATTTTACTTTAAATTGGTCATAACTTTTATAAGAGAAAAGATGGGGCTTTCACATTGCACATGTATATTACTTGTAACAAGACCTTTCTAATTATACTATGATTTTTTACCTTGTGACCTTGAAGTTTGACCTTCTTTTCAAAAATGTTAATTTTGCTTATAACTTTTGAATGAAAAGAGATAGGGCTTTCATATTTGACATTTACATTACCTGTGAGAAGATGTTTTCGAGCATGCTATGATTTTTGACCCCTTGACCTTGTCCTTCATGATTGACTTAATTTTCAAAAAAAATTAACTTTGGTGATTACTTTTGAATGACATATAATTGGGCGTTCATATTTGACACAATATGCCATAAATAATGGCATCCCATCCACTAAGACACCGAAAGCGGGGGACCACAATTCTTTGAATTTACTTGTTTAATCCAATATGATATATGCGTTTTACATGATATTGTATCTAATAAATTGATAATATAAGTTGTCATTGTAAACGACCTTGTAAACCCTTACATTGTTAAACAGGCAGAACACATTTATTATTAAATAATTTAGCACTTAAGAAATAATCTAACACAATTAAAGTTAATAATTACTGGTACCTAGATATTCCACTCCGAAAATCAATATAATTGCATTTAATTTACCGATCTTTTTCTTTTCAATTCTGAAAATATTTTATCGTTTCCGAAAACTATTTTTAAATAGTTAATTTTCAAACCAAAGTATAAAAGTTCTGAAATTTATATATTTTTATTAACCTCTTCCATTAGTCAGACTATACTAAATGTTGTCATCTTCGAGTTATCACAATGGGTAGATGACATTTGAGCTGGAAAATTTTACTGAATGTAGTAAAATACGGCATTTTTTCAACCAAAAACAGATAATTATCTTATTTACAGTCGGTTTAAACTGGAATAAAACGCTTATAAATCTACATGTGTTCCAATCCACTCTGTCAACTGTATATAGTTAAACTACATGAACTCTTTCTAGAAAATAGATCCACTCTGATTCTACACACAAGTACTCTGAAGTTGATATAATTAAAGAAAGCTTGAGTTTCTCTTTGACAACATTTACATGTATTTATTCAAATTCTGAATCATAAGAATATAAAAAATAGGTTTGCTAATAAAGGAACCAGTTTGTGCCATCGGATGGAAGACCTGGTCTCCGAACAAAATATTGGAATTTCGATGGGCACAAACTCTGCTCCTATATTAGCAAACCTGTTTTTATATTCCTGTGAAGCAGAATTTGTTCAAAAACTTCCACTTGAGAAGAAAAAACACTTTTTGTGGCCTACAAGTCGACTTTCAGATATATCAACGACTTTTTATCTATTAACAATAGTTACTTCCATTCATATGTCGATTGGATATATCCCAGTGAAATTGAAATAAAAGACACCACAGAGTCTGCCATGTGTGTTTATATATTTGGACGTTTTACCGTCTATAGACGATAAGGGACAACTAACAACTAAAATTGTATGACAATCGAGATGACTTCAGCTTATCCATAGTCAATTTTCCTTATTTATGTAGGAATATTCCGCTATCACCAGCATATGATGTTAACGTCTCCAAATTTATTCGATACTCAAGATTATGCTCTGATTATGATCAGTTTTTAAACAGAGACAGGCTACTGACAGATGAGTTGGTTCTACAGGGATTTCAACAACCTCGTTTTAAGTCATCATTTCGTAAATTTTATAGCCGTTATAATGACCTTGTTAGCAAAAATAACCCATCATTGGATTGTATTTTGGCTGACGTATTTTATATCAATTGTTAGGCCTTTGTTTTTATACTAAGTATGACTAAGGAATGTTCTGTCTACCTGATCAATATATATGGCGGGTTGGACCGGTCGAAAGGGGATGTTTACTCCTCCTAGGCACCTGATCCCATTTCTTGAATTTCCAGAGGTCTGTGTTTTATGCCCTGTTCACAAATGTCTATTGTTTGTAGACTTTTATGAGATCGATCACTTTGTCACTGTAATCTATAGCATGAATATCTGCATATCATTTACTGCAGAGTACTTGTAGCCCTAAATGGAATACAAAAATTAAAATCTGGCGTAACATGGCTCCGATATATCTGAATACAAATGCTATGTTTTTCTGTCACACTTGTAGGTCTTAACCGGTATCTTTGAATTTTCGGTAATATCTGATATTTTTTCGGAAATGAAAGGAAATATAATTTTCGGCAATAAAATCCGACCAGTTTTCAAAATTTTGGTAGTGAAATACAGCCTTTGAAATTTGAGGCGTTTCTCAAGCTACTAGAAATATATGTATAGAATGGACAATATTTACATTTGGTCTTAACGTTTCCCTATATGTCTTCTAGTAGATGATACTGATGTAGTATGTTGGATACCAAGTCCATTTCTACAGAATAAACTTTGTGAAAAAAAATCATACTGAAAAATATACATACAGAGTGTCACTCAAAAAAGGGTCAGAGCTTGGTAGTGAGTACAAATATCACTTGTTTTTGGGCTATCTTTGAAATTAAATATTTTCTTTCAATATTTTTTCTTAACTTTATTTCAAATGATTTTATAATTGTCCTGTTAAAAATTTTTCCATTGAAATAATTATTTAGTATGTCTTTCCATCATCACTGAATAAACATTTAAAAAAAGAAAAAAGAGTTATATAAGGTTTTGATTTCAAGAAAGTAATATCAATAATTAAAAAAACAAACTTGTATCTAACTTTTATTTGTTTCAAATTCAATATAATAAAAATACAAAAGATTAACATACAAAATATTATAATTGAAATAAAATCAAATAATATAATGGTCATTACTGATATTTTTTTGAAAATAATGTATTGCATTACAATTACTTGTAATTGAAAAATGGATCCATTACACATTACATCCCATTCCTGTGAAAAAATTTAATGATGTAATGATGACAATGCATTACCATGACACATTACCGTTACTCCAGGTCTTTTCAAGATAATTGTTTTTGTATAAATTGCCAGCTTTTCTTCCGGGGGACCTTTTTCATTCTGAACAAAGATCAGTCATGATGGAAGCAACACATGTCTACTCTATTTAATTGCTATAATTTGATATAAAAGAAAGCCAGATACAGACACGTTGATATTATATTGAGCAGCTGTATATTTGTAAGTATTGTTGGCAATTTAAAAATTGTATGTCATTACTTGGGAAAAATCACCAGAGGAATATAATTATGTTATATAGATATATTGTGAAACAGGTGTTTCTTTAGTTCATTTGCCTTCAAGTAAAAATCTTTCACACAAACCTTAAATTGACAAATGCAAAATATTAACATCCACAACTCTATTTAAGTTTCAGAAATATAATTTTGTAACATTATTAACGCTGAATATTAAATGCTACTTTTCAAAGAATAAATCGCAAATTTCTGTGCACAAAAAACCACATTCTTTTTTGACTCGTGTTTTCTTTTATCTTAAAAATTATTTGGAATGACCTGTACAGTTCTATACATGCATCTTATTCAAGAACAACCAACCCTTGCGATTAGTAAATCAATCCGTCAATCAATCAATTAATCATTCAATCAATCAACCGGTCAAACTTGATATGTAATTCACTTGTTTTTCTGTTACGACCTTTATTTTTTCCACCATATAATTTAATTTTGACGTTTTATTAGTCCCTTACCGGTGAAACCGGAGAGGACTATAGGTTTCCTCTGTCCATCCGTCTGTTCTGTCTGTCTGTCTGTCCGTCTGTATGTCCGTCTGTCTGTCAGTCTGTCCCACTTGGTTTTCCGCCTTATTTTTCTTAACGCTTGCAGATATTGAGCTGAATTTAGGTATGTGACTCAACCTTGATGAGTTATAGATCAAGATTGCATTTCGTTCCGCTTCATTGATTTTTGACGGAATTATGGCATTTTCAATTTTTAATGGGAACCAGATTACACTTGCGGTAGGGGACTAGTATTGCTAATGCAATACTCTCAGAATGCTTGTTTTTCCAGGAAAGATAATTTATTTTGAAGAACGTGTAGGTAGATCGACGTGTTGTCAAAATGTCCCTATCTGTCTCTAACGTTGATATTGTTTTCTTTATATTTGTATTCAAATACCGGTATTTAATTATTTTCAGTTTGAAGGATGAGTTTCTTTAGGTACATGGTAGTGAGCGCATTAATTCTTGTTACATCAGCTGCTACTCAAGTAAGCCAGATTTTAAAGGACAGTCATAGCTGGAAATATTAATAAATCTCTCTTTATTTGATAAAAGTTTATAACTCTTAAGTAAAGCAGCACAACATTTATTTACATATGATTAAAAATATCAAATTCATTTGCACATGAAATTAAAGCATTGACTGTGGTGTTTTGTCATTAAAAGAAATGAACTAAACTTCATGGATAAATTAGGCCTATAGCTATAGAAGGATTATAATTAACCAGGCAGTCCTGATTACTCGGTGAGTGAGGAAAGGTTAATAATTTTGTTATTAACTCATACTGCAATTCTCCTCATTAGCCTCCTGGATTACAAAATAATGGATCAGATGAAGCAGCTAGAAATAGTGACAATCCAATTCAGAGGGTCCTGGAGCAGTTTTTTGTCAAAAAAGCGAAAGGAATGGAAATGGAGAAGGCTATCGCAGAAATGGCGTCCACAATTAAAAACATGATGGCCACTATTGATGCAATGAAATCTTCTATTTCGTCGCTCGAAAGAGATATTGCAAATAGTATGTTGAAATTGATCTATATATATATATTTGATATGCATTGTATTAATTACTTAATTCTACAACTTGTTCATATTCTATGTCGAATCTTATACATTTTAGGGAAAGAATTCAGATGTGAGTATATTTTATTGATGCCAGCATTCCAATATTGTCATTGTTAAAAATATATCACTTTTCTCTTTTTTAAGGTCAATCTTCAATTATCTTAATCAAAAAAATAAAATTTCTTTCTTTATAATTTTTTTTGTTAATTACAAATACATGTAGGTGAATCGGGCGTTTTAGGACAACACACCGCCCCTGCTCCTAATTGGCCTTATGGACAAACAATCACATTTCAAACAGCATTTCAAGAAATGCCGACCGTAACATACGGATTATACCTGCTTGATTCCGCTGGTACAGTTAACCTTCGTGTTAGCACAGAGGTAAAGGATATAACCAGGGGAGGGTTTAGCATAAACCTCGCAAGATGGGGAGACTCAGTGCTGTACGGAGCCAGAGTCAGCTGGATGGCGTGTGGAAGATAAAGCATGTATTCCCCGCTTAGATAATGTTGCTTTATATGCAATAAAAGTTATAATTTACTCTGAATCCTCTCTTTTATCATATCTTAACAAAGATGAGAAGAATTTCAAAAAGTATGTACAGAAAAATATCTTGCACTCATTGCCAAGTAAAAGACATGATATTCAAAAACCAAAACAAACAAATAATTTTGTGGTCAAAGTTTCAACTGTCAAAGTCAAATCGATAAAACTACCCCCTTGAGCGTATTTATAGGCGTGACAACGTCATCAAAAAATATACTGTAACATGTGATGAAGATTTTCAGTGCATTTATGATATAATTGCTTATACATGAACTATTATGTCCTACATGTAGATATATCAATGTCAAAATACAATATTGATTATTTTAAATATTAGCGCATATTTCAATCTGTGGATGTATGTTAATGTACATTGCAATAAATGATAAATGAACCGCTCTTTAAAGGTTTGCACATTGCATTAAGCAAAACCTTATCTACCTGGATCTTTCGGATTTAATTTCACTATATATATATATATATATATATATATATATATATATATATATATATATATATATATATATATATATATATATATATATATATATATATATATTTTTACAATCGCCACATTACTGGTATCCATTGATAATTCACATGTGTTATGAATTTAATTGTAAATTGCCATATTTAAATTTTTCGTGTTTTTCTACTTTTTAAACAATCATGGAATTAATTTGAATGCCATTTTCACATATACTCACGATTAGAAATATACAAAAGAAACTCGCACTAAAGTGACGTCATTATGAAGCTGCAGATCAAAATATAACATAGCTGGCACGCAACGTTGTTTCAACGTTGAAAGTAGGTGGAATTTAAAGTTCAACGTTGTTTTAGCATTGAGGTTTCAACGTTGAAATCTCAACGTTCTACAACGTTGAAAGAACGTTGAAGATTCAACATATTTTAAACGTTAATTGTTTGCTGTTATTTCAAGGTTGAAACAACGTTGAAGATGCAACATATTTTTCAGCGTTGAAAAAGTCAGGGACATTTAACATTGAAAAGATGAATCTTACTTTAAAATATAGAGGGTTATTCAACCTTGAATCAAATCTATATGCAATAATGCATTGTTAGAAAATATGATTATTTACAATAAATGAAATGCATAATGAATTAACTTAAATTACATTCTAAGAAAGAAATTCTTTAAAATCATATGTCAGTTTTAAAAAAATTATCATTCCCAACAATTAAAAAAATTATCATTCCCAACAATCAAAATGAATTTGAATTGCCATACCTATACTGGATTCCTAAACTTCGTTATAAAAAATCATTACAAACAAAGATATATAGCAGGTTCCAGTAAATGTTCTACCGAGCCTTTTTCTTTAATCCTCACTGAAATATTAACAGCAGTGAAGGAGAAACTTCAGGAGTACTGTACAACAATATATTGTAAAGAAGTGGTGTAAATCAGATGTGCATACTTAAAAATTCCAAGGAACTTTAAGAAAAAAAATTTGAATCACCAAATTTTATCCAAATCATGAACAATAACATTAAAACAAACGAATTTTCAACACTTCATACAACCATTTTCGAATTCCCCACGATAAATAAAAGACCAGGCTCTTTGACATCATTGACAGCTGCTTTTTCAATAAAAATGGAACTCGTAAATTTACTTACCTTGTCAATGGTCATTTGTAACACAATTTTGTTAAAAAAACATTCTGATTGTACACACAAGTATTCTAAAGTTGACATTATAAAAAGATGCTTGAGTTTCTGATTGACAATATCTGTGTAGTTTTTGGAGACCAGGTCTTCCAACAATTTGTCAGAATACCATGGGTACCAATTACGCCCCGTTATAAGCAGACCTATTTTGTATTCATATGAAGCAGAATTTATTCAAAAATTTCTACATGAGAAGAAGAAATCATTCGCTGTGGCCTTCAACACGACATTTAGATATATCGACGACGTATTATCAATTAACAGTAGTTACTTCCATTCACATGTCTACTCGATATATCTCAGTGAGCTTGAAATAGAAGATACCACAGAGTCTGACACATCTATTTCATATTTGGATATTTTACTATAAAAAGACGTTAATGGTAACCTAAAAACCTAGCTTTAAGATAAACGCGATGACTTCAACTTTTCAATCGTCAACTTCCCTTATTTATGTAGCAATATACCCTAAGTATCACCTGCATATGGGGTTTAGGTCTCTCTGTTGATTCGATACGCAAGAGCAAACTCTACGTACAAAAAATCTCTAAAACGAAGCAACCTATTGACAAATTGATGAAACAAGAATATTGTAGCGGGAAAGTCCTTTTCCCAGTAGCGCTGCCACCAGCTGATTATCTCCCATCAGCAAGGAAACTCAAATATGAACCTCTTATAAAAAACTTTAAAAAATGACCTGACCTATTCAACTCTCAATACTTTTTCTCTGACCCTGACCATCACCAACACCTGAACAGAAGTCTTAAAGACTTGTAAATGAGACACAATTTCATAAAGTTAACAAATTTATTCATTCAAATCAATAAAACAAGCAAAATATAAAACAACACGGCTGAGGACTTCACTTATGTGCGTAAAATTGTTACTCAAAACAGACACGAAGACGAGATCGACTGATATCATAGCACAATTAAAGGGGAACAACTCGGGATAACTCAATGTGACAAAACAAGAAGGTCAATCACTTCTCATATAAAAATTAAAAGCTAAACTCATCTGAGGCTATCACTCATGAGTTTCTTATCTGTAATTAGAAATAAATAAGCTATAGAATTCTCAGGGGAAAATCACCCTTAAGAATCTAAAAGTTCCTAATAAAATTTCTCTGAGGAAAATCACTCTTGAGAAATACCCTAAGTCTTCATACAACAGTAATTAAATTAATTATCAATTACAATGATCACTTGAGACAATCATCAAGTTATGTTTTCAACAAAGACTTTTCTAAAATATAATTTCTCTCACAAATAATTAAAAAGAGCCTAATTTTTGATATCAGATAGACCAGACTTTCCAATAAAGTTGAAAATTAAATAACTCAGTAAAATTCTACCAAATCTAGTTTGCTATCAAATCTCAACTGATCAAAGTCTCAAACAAATCCCTAAAATTAGCCAAATAAGTTACCAAAATATTTGCTACTTCTGATAACTCAATAAAACAACTTTCCATAAATAAAATTCAATAAGATTCCTTTCAAAAATTAAGATGTAGCCTAAACAATAACAAAATAAAATAAAAATGACTTACGTTGCCTCAAGAATGAGAGAGAACCAAAAGACTTCGAATTACAGAATTTACCAGGCTTTTATACTATGAAAAACAGAATTCTATACATCGCGCGAGCAAAACATAGAAAAATACAGAAAAACACAGAATCTGTATTATCACGTGACATTAACAGAAAATATAACAGAAAATCTCAATACAGAATTCTCTTAGTAAAATCTCGTCGATTCTCGTCTATAAAATTATAAAACAAACCGTAATATTTACATTACGAACATTTCTTATATTTTCAAAAATCTTGTATACATTCAGTCATTATCGAAAGAACATGCTATTCATATTTCCCGCAGTAACAGAAAAATCGATAATTTAACATTCGGAATGCCTCAGTATTCACTATACAAAACATCTAATTACTGATAAGAAACTCATGAGTGATAGCCTCAGATGAGTTTAGCTTTTAATTTTTATATGAGAAGTGATTGACCTTCTTGTTTTGTCACATTGAGTTATCCCGAGTTGTTCCCCTTTAATTGTGCTATGATATCAGTCGATCTCGTCTTCGTGTCTGTTTTGAGTAACAATTTTACGCACATAAGTGAAGTCCTCAGCCGTGTTGTTTTATATTTTGCTTGTTTTATTGATTTGAATGAATAAATTTGTTAACTTTATGAAATTGTGTCTCATTTACAAGTCTTTAAGACTTCTGTTCAGGTGTTGGTGATGGTCAGGGTCAGAGAAAAAGTATTGAGAGTTGAATAGGTCAGGTCATTTTTTAAAGTTTTTTATAAGAGGTTCATATTTGAGTTTCCTTGCTGATAGGAGATAATCAGCTGGTGGCAGCGCTACTGGGAAAAGGACTTTCCCGCTACAATATATATATTAAACACATGCTACAAACAAAAGGGTTTAAAGATTTTCACACTAACAAATAACCCGGTCATTATTTTATATCCGCTACATTATTCTTCAATAATCATTATTTATAATTACTGATATCAATTTTAACATGAAGACAAATCTAATTCTTTTCATTCATTCAAAGTGGGCAAGAACATGTACTTTTGTTTGTTTTTCTCCAATTATTCTTGTATATTTCTATTTTATTTTTCAAATTCCAATTTATTTCCAATTTATATATGTATATGTCTATCATTTGAGATGAAAAGTTATCAAAATAAATGACTTTCACATCATTATCTCTTTTGTCGATAGACTGATTTAGAGAAAGGAGCTTCCTGTTCATTTCGAATTCTTGCCTACGACAATAACTTTGTTGGACTTAACCATGTGCGTGATTTAAAATCATTGGATCCGCTACCTTGTGGAACCTAAGTTTTAACCAGATGAGTGTTTTTTTTTTTAAAAAATCCTGGATGTTATTTCAATGACCCACTTTTCACTAGTAAAGTTAAAGGAGTTAATTAAACAGTGATTTTAGAAATTCAGTGATTGAATCCAGGATTTATGTTTGTCTTTAAAAATGCAGTTTAAAACAAACTCAGTCAGAAACTTAATACTGAATCACAACTTACATATTTCGAAAATTGAGTATTACCGGTATTAATATTTTTTAATGAAAATTTGAAAAATAAAATGTATTCAATTTTGACTGTACTTAAGGAGGGATTCTTGTCTGGTTTCTGACTAAATGAAATATTCAAAGTGTATTTGCCCATATGTCGTATATATTTAGATGTAAAGGATATAAAAAATTATATTTTTCTTTCCTTCTCTAAATTGTACAACTTTAAATACCAATGGTAGGCTGGGTTT